TCTCAAGATCTATTTAGAGAACAAGTTGAGAAACTCTGCAAGCTGAACAGAGAACACCTGGGCTGTGATCATTAATATTAGAAAAAGAGATGAGAAATCTGATGAAGACTACTCACAGTACTTTATGAAATTGTGATATGAATTAAGACCTGTGAAAACAGGGCTCTGAAACAAGACCTGAATGATGATGTTTATAAAGAGACTGAATAAAGATATACAGAACAAGCTCATTGAGTAAGACTCTAAGTTCTTGATTCTGAAGAAACTGATGACTCTCATTCATCACTTATGAATCACTGTGAGAGTCACAGACCTGTGAAGAGCAGATCACTGATCAGTTCTGCAAGAGTCAGAACAACAGAGAACAGATTTATCAGAAAAAGATGATAAGACACAGAGAGATTCATGTCTGACTGCTGAGTAGAGAGAGAGAGCTTTACAAGCTTCTGTGAACAGAGTGTATAACAGAGAGATTAAGAAAAAGAAACTCTGCTTCATCTGTTCTAAATCAGAACATCTCTGTGCAAACTGTTCAGATAAATTAAAATAGGAATTTGAGAAGTCACAGACAGAGTCAGTAACAGTCTTCTTAAGAGTCTTGAAGCTGACACCTGAATCTGTTGCTCTCTCAATGAAAATGCTTGCTTGTAGAGAGAGATTATACTGCAGTGCTGCTGCTCTGCAAGCATGAGAAGTATTAATGAACTCAGAATTTCAGGTCACTGTAATGTTTCTAAAGCTCACAGAGCAGATAAGCTGAAAGATGAAGACTGAGAACCTGTTCTTATAATAAGCAGAGTGCAAGAACTCAGACCTGAGAGCTGAGAAACTTATAAGAGTCATCTTTGAATTACAAGATCTCTCTGAAATCTGAAGAAGATTTGCAGAAACTGTGATTATCACAGACATCACAGATAACATGTACTTGAGACTTGTATAACTTCAAAGACACAATTTATATATAGCTGTTTACAAGTCAGATTTATACTTTCAATCAGTATTGACAGACTCACTTACAGAGATAGAATCAGTTAATGCTGCAGAGTTAATTAGAGAAGATAAGCCTATCTATGTAATGACCTTGCAAGTGTCTGAGAATCTCACAGTCATGAAAACTGAGCTTCAGATATCAGAGAAATACCAAGACCTCACAGAGATGTTCAGCTCAGTAAAGACAGCTGAGCTTTTCTCTCACTGTGAGAAGAATCTGATAATAGATTTGATAGAAGAACAGAAACTCTTCTAAGAATCAATCTATAAGCTCTCTTATCACAAGACAGAGGTCTTGCAGATCTATGTGAAGAAGAATCTGAAGAATGACTTCATCTGATCTTCACAGGCCTCTGTGAGAGCCTCTGTGATGTTCATGAAGAAGAAGAATGAAGATCTCAGATTGTGTGTAGACTATCACAATCTGAACTTCAAGATAATAAAGAGCTGCTATTCTCTGTCTCTGATTAAGAATGTGATCAATCATCTCACAGAAGCTGTTATATTCACACAACTGAATGTGATTAATATATATACACAGCTGTGAATACAGTCTGAGAATGAATAAAAGACTGTCTTTAGAACTGCACTGAAATTGTTTGAATATCTAGTGATATCTTTTGATCTGACTAATGTCCCTGCAGCATTTCAGTCTTTCATCAATAAAATACTTCACACATATCTGAATGTCTTCATGATAATATATCTGAATAATGTGATGATGTACTCTGTGAAGAAGAAAGAACACACTGAGCATGTATAAAGTGTGTTAAAGACCTTAGATGAGGCAGAACTGTATATTAAGCTCACAAAGTGCAACTTCAGTGCCTGCTGAATTAATTTTCTAGAATATGTAATCACTGCAGATGATATTCAGATGAAATCTTTATAAGTTGAGACTATTCTATCATGATCAGAGTTAATCAGTATTCATGAAATTCAGATCTTTCTGAGCTTTGTGAATTTCTATAGATGATTTATCTTTATATTTATGAGAATCTTCTTGACTCTTACAGACATGCTGAAGAATGAAAATAAGAAGAAGTCATTCTGTGAACAGAGAATGAAAAGATTGTTAAGAAGAGAGAACTGTGAGAACTTTCTTATCTCAGAAGCTTATGAGGCCTTTACAAGATTAAAACAGGTATTCATGAATACAGTGATACTGTTTCACTTTGATCTCTTGCTCTTAATCAGATTGAAGACAGATGTCTTCTTCTTTGCAATTTCAGAAATAGTCTTATAACTACAGTTAAATGAGAACTGAGTTTCAGTAGTCTTTTTCTTATGAAAGATGCAACTCACAGAGATCAACTATGACATTCATAATCAGAAGCTTCTCATAATAGTGAAATTCTTCTATCACTGATATCACTACTTCAAGAGTCTCATGACAGTGATTACTGTTAGAACTGATCATGACAGCTTATAATAGTTTGCTTCAATCAAGAAACTCTTGCAGCAGCAGGTTTACTAGGCTCAGAGACTGAGTGAGTTCTGATTCAAGATAGAACATATTAAGAGAACTAAGAACTCAGCAGATGAACTCTCTCACAGGTCAGACTATGTTAAGAAGGCCAGGATGACAGACATAGAGAGACTAAAGAAGACAGAAAAGCTTCATGAGATACTCAGACTGAGTGTTATGAAGAGATTGACTGAAGAGTCTCTTAATCTCTTATAAGAGAAGAAGAAAAAGAGAGAGAAGAAGTCTGTGCAACTACTCTCTATAACACTGAGAGTCAATACTCTGAGAATCTCTGCAAGAATTCTTGAAGAGAGTATCTATAATCTGAAGAGTTTGCAGGCTTTGAGAAGTACTGTGAAAGACCTGATGTAAGAAGAAACAGAGTATAAGTCTTTGTAAGATCTTCTATTCAGATTGTCTGAACTGTAACTGAAGAATGAATATACTCAGTATATTTGAAAACTGCTCACAGCAGAGATCAATCCTGCAGAAATAAAGAATTGAAGAGACTTAAATAATCTCTTATGAAGAGAGAGTCAGATTTATATACCTGTGAATAAGTTTCTACATGTAGAACTCATCAAAAGGCATCATGACTCTTCTTTAGTGAGTCATTTTATAGACACTAGAACTTATGAGTTACTTGTAAGAAAATACTTCTGACTAAAGATATGAGAACTTGTGAAGAAGATAGTGAATTCTTATACTGTTTATCAGAATTCATGAGTAGTGTGATTCAGATTATATAAAGAACTTACTTCTCTACTCATTTCACAGAAACCTTGAAAACAGCTAGAAATGAATACTCTTGTGAGTCTCTCTGAAAGTAAGAACATATATGATGCCTGCTTTGACAGTGTACTAGTGATAGTGAATTGCTTCATCAAGATAACACACTTTATACTCACTTACAAGAACTTGAAGTCAAAGAATTTGACTCATATCTTCATCTGTGATGTGATTCAGTTGCATGAGTTATCTGTGAACATTGTCTCAGACAGAGAATCAATCTTTATAGAAGAGTTCTGATCTGACCTGATAACTATACTGAAGATCTTATGAGATCTAAGCATGACTTTTCATCAACAGATAGATGATCAGATAGAACATCTAATAAGTATATTGAAACAGTATCTGCAGTACTTTGTTAATTACAATCAGAATAACTGAATGCATTGATTATCACTTACAGAGTTCATATATAACAACTCAAAGCATGTCAGCACAGATAAAACCCTCTTTGAGATGCTCACTGAGACTCATTCATGAATGATCTTGATGAACTCATGAGAGTACACTATAGAGTGTGATAATGTCTGTAAATGAGCTGAGAGAATTCAGAAGATCTGGGAGAAAGCCTGTGAATTCTTGAGAAAGATTCAAGAGTATTAGAAGAGATACTATGACTTCAAGCATATTATAAAAAGTTTTAAGAAAGATGATAGAGTCTGACTGAGTCTAGAAAACATTATTATATAAAGATCTAGTAAGAAGCTGAATCTCTTATGAACAGAGTCTTGTAAGATTATAAAGAAAGTTAGCTCACAGTTCTACAGATTAAAACTGTTATCTGAGTTGCAGATACACAATGTTTTTCATATCTCTTTACTCTGTGAATACAAGAAATTCTCAGAAGAGAATTCTGTGACTCATCACTCTGTTTACAAAGTACTAGAAAGTGAAAGAGAATATCAGATCAAAGAAATTATTGACTCAGAGAAGTGAGATCACAAGCTCTGATTCAAGATTCAGTGATAAGAGTATTCTGATAAGATGAATAAGTTCACTTGAGAATCATTCAGATAGATAAGACATCTGCAGAAGCTGAGATATGACTTTTATACTGTGAATTCTGATAAGTCAGAATGATACAGTCTTCACTAAGAACCTGATTATAATAAAGACATTAACACTGTCATTTACAAATTCTAGTCTATAAGATAATGAGTTTCTACTGAGATGAACAGTCTGCAGTGTATGTAAGAAAAGAAGAAATCATATTCTTATTAAGTTAAAAAATAAGAAAATAAACAGAGCTGTGAACACAATTTGAAGATCAATAAAGAAAAAATAAAGAAAATTTAAATTCATACTCTTAATACTCACAACACTCAACTCTCTCACAACTATCAATTTCTCTTTTTAAAGAAGCAGAGAGTATTATATCTATGATACAGATAATTATTGCATTTGATGTGAAGACTGTTAGAAATATACAGACTTCAGAGAAGCTGAACATCAGAGTATATACAGTTGTAGCAGAGTCTTGAAGACTGATCATCTATACATATAATTAGATATTTCTTACAAAGCTGTGTCTGCTCTCTCAGTTATGCTGAAGTATTCAGTCTGAAAATAATTGAGACATGAAGAGAGAGCTCATCAGCTCAGATCAACTCTCATCACAAATTCATGATATTCACATTGTCTTGATTACTCAGATTTTGCAGGTATCTGAGAACTCATCTCTCATTGACAATGAAATTGTGGAAATGCACCACAGCGCGAGAATCATTGATGAGAAACCTAGACATATTCACATATGCCTGGTCAGAGATTGTACAGACAGAGAAGAGATGATTGTAGACTCACAGAGCTGCAGAAGACACTGACAACATCAGAAGCTTTACAAGAACTGTCAGCTAGAGTCTGTAAGAAGTTACTTATGAGAAGACTTATAGCAAAGAAGGGAACTGCACTGCTTGAAGCCAGAGACTGGTCTGAAGAAGAGATGGAGAAGGCTGCTGATCTGAAGATCAGGTGCAGTGACAGAGCTGAAGAGAATGAAGACATAGTTATGAGTGACAGCATCCCTGCTTTATCAGCTGATAAAAAGCAATCAGAGAAGTTGCAGAGATGCTCACAAGAAGCTCAGCAGCAGTCAGACATTGTTATAAGAGTGTTGAAATTGAAAAATTTTTATTCTTGAGAAGTTCTTGAATCAATATATGAATATTATCAGAAACACTCTCTCTCTATTATCTGAGTGAAAACACTTTATAAATGAATGAGAATACTCACAGTTTGTGAGGATAGAAGCTGTTACAGAAAAAGAGAAAAGAAGATGAGATTTTATAGACAGATCTGAAATATTTATACTACTCTAGAGAGATTTGCTTACACTGTGAGTGATTCTGCAGAACAGTCAGATCACTCTAGTAAATAAAAGTGATTGTGAATCACAGGCCTGAATCTTTCTATATGACTATAAAGAGTGATTACAGACTGTGAACATCTTGATTCTACAATTCTACAGAGTTAGTAAAAGAATGAAAAATTCCTCACAATTCTATAGTGTCAAAGAACAATGATTCATAAGAATAAGTGAAAGATCAACTCATGAATATTTCTCTTTAATGAGAGTGATCTCACAGAGAGTGATTCACCTGCAAGATGAATCTATGTGATGATCACATAAGAATCTCATGAAAATAATTGAGAGTTAATCAGAACTCTTCTGTATAAAAGATGTGAGATGAATCTGTATAATAGTCAGAGAAGAATCTGTAGATTATAAAGAATCTCACAGAATAAGAAACTGAGTGACAGACTCTTTTCTCTTTATAATAACAAGGAATTTTTCCTCACTGAGGTTTTTTATAGATATGAAGGGTTTTTAGTGAGTATCACTGCAGTGCTGAGCTGACTATGAAGTCACTCAGTGAAAGGCTTTGCAGACAAAGTCTTAGAGAGAAGAGAGTATATAAGAAATTCTGCTTCTCACAGATTCTTTATCTCTATTTCTATCTCTCATATAATTAATAGAGCTAGCGGCTCTTGACTACACACAACTATATAGACTGAAGTTCATGAATACTATTCATAACTCAGCTTGAATGCTATTATACATTTGACCTCTACATTTTATCTTTCTACTGTGAATACTTCTAGTAGTTAACAGTACATATCACATCAAGCTGCAAACACCTGAATAATCACCTGCGAGCACTTATTCTTACACACATGAGATCAAGTCATCTTGATCTCTGAGAACACTCAGAGATCAGATGAGATTAGTTTCAATAAGCTGTTCACTGTAGTGATCTGAGTGAGTGAAGAGAGACAGTATAATACACAAGACAGAATTATAAAAAGTTAGAAGCTACTGAATCTAGTCACTGAATGCTGTACTATATAGAGATTATATAAGAGTAGTGACTAGCAGATAAAGAAAAAGCATAAGAAAAGAAATAATGAATTGATCATTAATTATAAGAATCAGCTGTAAAAGACAAATGTTATCATACATATCTTATTCATTTTCATACATCACATGTTAATCTATTTCCAACATCACATCATCTGAAAAATGTCAAAAACAAAGGAAATCTCAAAACTCAAGATCTGTAAGAAATTCAAGAGTCATAAGCTGCTCTTGTAATAACACTGCACACATCTCTGATTCCTCTATCACTCTGTATATAACATTAATATCATTTATTACAAGATTGACTGAAATGCCAATATAGGAATGCGCATGTGTACATGTAGAGAAATTGAAGAAGAGTACGGAACTCACAGAATCAGAAGCCAGGGCAGAAAGAACAGAGATAGAAGAAACAGAAGAAAGAGAAGATGCAGAACTAGATAAATAATAGCAGAAGTCACTCAGAGTTGAATACTTATAACTCAGTGTGTGCACAACCTTCTCTGCAGAAGAGAGAGAGAGAGAGAGAAAGCAATAGAAGAAGCTTGAGAGTGAGAGAGAATAGTCTCAGCAGTGTTATCATCTTTGATCAGAATGACCTCTGACACTGAAGCAACTAAGAACTATTGTTAGTATATAAAAATCACAAAAGTAGAGATAATAATTACTGAATAAACATCTGCTGATCTTAAAATTGTACATGTAATTACAACATATATAAGGCTTCTCAGAAAGAGAGAGAGAGACATGAGAAAATGCAGAAAGCAGAACACAGTATGTGAACAGCTCATTCTTATAATAATATCTCAGACAAGGTGTATGAGTCTTATGTCTGCAGGTGTAAAAGAGTACAATATCTGTATTTTCATTTCTGAAAACACAGATATTCTTCACCTGCATCATGAAGTTGAATGACAATTATCAGAGAATAGGCTGATACAGATCAATCATTTCAAAGATATTAGTCAGAGTGAATATATCTGTAATATTGAATTTAACAGTCATGAAAAGTTTCTTAGTGTCTGTAAATGTCATGACTTTATACACAGTAAAACTTATAACAATTTCCTCTAAGAATAGAAAAATCAGTGTCAGAAAGAAAAGATGAAAAGAAAAAGACTTACAATCTCAATACTGTTGAAGAGAGAGGTGATTCTCTGATATAAATGAACAATTTTCTTATCACAAATATTTAAAATGAATGTAATAATCAGTGTCTGTGACTGAGCTTCAGATAGTTATATCATATGCAGTCTTTATACAATAAATTATTCTAAGAGTTGATAAGAAGAGTGAGAGTGTCTGTGCTGAGAGATGTGATTTATTAAGTCTATACAACATCTTCTTGAAATGAGAAGAGCTGGTCATGAAAGCAGAGACAGTAAAATCAGAAGTGACAGAAGTGAGAATCACAGAAACAGAGGTAGCAGAAGCAGGAGAATCAGACACAGAGACAGGTGTAGAAGATTGAGAGAAAATGACAGAGAAAGAAACAGAGAGAATAAGAGAGAATGTGAGAGACCTGATCACACATGACACAGACAATTTCTTCATTATCACATTCTTCAAGTTCTCAATCAATGATTCAACACTGAGTTCACTATTATCAGCAGATGTGAATCTGTCAACATGTGAAGATTCTACATGAATAAAAATAACATATCAGTATCTGTGTTCATGCAAAATTATGCTAGAAAACATGATCAGAAACCCGCTGAGAAGGAAATGATTGAGAGTGTATGAGAAGGTAGAGAAGATGTGTCATTCATGATAGTATGTTCTGATAATTGTTAGAAGATAAACAAGTTCTGATCACATTTCACAACATGTTACACTTACTGCTAATGAACTGCCTGATATGAGCACTATGAGAATGCTTGTTATGAGAACAGAGAGTCATCATCAGAAATGTGTATAATGTGATAGATAAACAGATGAAAAGAGTTGAACAGAAGAAGAAGTAGAAATCTTGAATAAGATGATAACATTCAATGATGATGATGATGAAGATGATGATTGAAAAATAAGAAAAGTTAGTGAATGAGTAATATAATATAGTGAAAGTTTCTTTGTGAGAGTGTACATGAAATGCTAACTGAATTAGAAATAGGTCACATAATTGTGAGATGCTAGTGACAAGCTAATCCGCATGAAGCTAGAGTGTACAACATGATCATGTGAGTGTGACTGAATCTGATGAGAAAGAATTTGATTTGAAAGAATGTATAACTGTTGAATAATAACGCGGCCGCTTCTGAACTACTAGTGTATGAATGTAAAGAGAGCCCTAGCGGCCACTAATTAATTTAGCGTACGAGATTCAATATATAAGAAGCCGGCGTACGCCTGTAATCGTACGCTGGCTTAAGCAACCTTTGAATCACAGCTAACATGTATGAATTCTTTATTCAACAGATTATTAAGTGTCTTTTGAAGAAAAAGAAGTTCATCTCAGAACATGTTATAAAGAGAGCCTCATGATGATTCAGAGTTCTTATCATTCTTTTTCTCTAACTTGATACTGTGATTTACTTCAGAATCTTGTAAGAAGAGTATACTTATAATATTATCTTATCAGAAGACATCTAAATATTCATGATATTATTAAGAGAGTTTTGTACAAGAATCTGTTATTATAACACAGAATAACTTTTCTAGAGTCTTTTTAATATCAGTCAGACTGACAGAATAGATTGATACATAATCTTACTATCAGTGACTCTGTCAGTGATTTTGATAATGACTTCTTTTTCAGAGTATTTTGTACACATTGACAGAGATCTGTGTCAGATTTATGATCTTGTGAATGTCATCTTCATGAACTCTATCATTGTTAGAGAATATCAAGCTTCTGTTTCAAGCATTTAATAAGATGCCTTGTTCAGATAGTCAGATGAGTTCTAACATAAGATTATAATCAAGATTATTAACTTTATATGCATAGGCATCTTCATGTTAATATTCTTCTACATCTATGATCAGCTTCATCATATAACAGATACAAATGTCTTTTGAATCATCAAATTCTGTGAGAAGTCAGGGTTTTGATAGAGAGATATGCTGAAGATTATAATATCTTATGACTGAAGATTTTATCATTGCATAGTAGCATAGATCACTGTCTATCATGGTCTTTATATTATATATGTTATTAATCACAGTGAATACAAGAATTATATTCATTGTCATCTTCTCTTCAAATTGTTATCATTCAACCTCTTCAAGCTTCTGTTTATAAATTTGAATAGAAGCTAATCTTTTCCCTGTTTTATCAAAGTATTCTCATAGTTATTCTCTGAATCTTCCTCTAATGCAATGTGATTGGCATGGACAGATACTGATTCATTCTTTGAATAAGAAGATACAAAGATTGATCAGCAGTTGAAGACAATATGTTCTGATCAGTTACAGTTGATATACACTCTATGTTGATGTTGATTAATGACTTCTTTGAGAGTGATCTCAGAGACTTAAAAGCCTGTTCAGACAGTAGAGACTCTTACTTATATATAGATATTCAAGTCTACTCAATTCATGGCATCTGCATCATTGTTATTTCTCAGCACAGGTGTATAAGCTGCTGAGATATAATATCTTCTACTACTGTTCTGTATATTCTTGAGCTTGATAAGATAATCATTCATTGTTCAGAGCTGTGTGCAGAAGTCTTTATAAGTTAAGTCTTCATCTGCACTTACAAGAGTCTGTAAGAGTTTGAAAGTCAATGTCTTCTTAAGCATGCTAATCTTCATTTAATTCTCTCAAGACTGATCATCTACTTC